TAGGAGCATACTTTCAGAAAATGCTTTTATGAGTAGAGAACTATTTACAGATGCTTTTGAAGAGGAATATCTCAATCTTGAAGGCATTTATTTTTTGATTAGGTAACCTTGTACAACTGTCATAGACTGTACTTGCAGAAACCTAAATGGCAAAACCTATTATTATTCACCTAAAGTATATGATATAACATTGATGCTGATATATAATGCCGAAAACTGTCCATTCACCTTAGGGCCATAACGAACATAAGGTTTAAGTCTAGCACGTGAAAAAAGATAACACTGAGGGGTGGGATGAGCATGAGATTTATGAGGGGCTGTTAGTGAGCTGTTTCAGATGCTTTTAATAATTGGAGTATGTGCTGAAATAATGATTAAAAGGAAAGTAGAATAAATACTTAAACCAGAAACAAAATGATCATCACTATATGACTGTATAAAGACATTTTTCTGCCAAGCATGGTAGTACACCCCTGTAATTTCAGCTACTCAAGAGGCAGGAGAATCACAAGTTCAAGGCTTGATTGTATAACTTAGAAAGATTCTGTCTAAAAGTGTAAAACAAAAAAAAAAAGTGGGGGAGGAAATAGCTTAGTGGTAGCTCGGTGGGTGAGGCCCTAGGTTCAGTCCCAGTATCACACATAACTGCACACACACTCATTTCTTTTATTTTTCTGTAGTTTCCCACTATGCCAATTTGTGCTTGTAACATAGTGCTATTAGTCAGTCCTCTAGTGTTCAATATTTGTGCTGTTCCACTCTTTTTTTTTTTTTTTCTTTCAAAACTGGGGATTGAACTCAGGTCCTTGCGCTTGCCTGGGAAGTGCTTATTCCACTGAGCCATCTCCCCAGCCCCTGTGCTGTTCCACTCTTACTATTATAAATCACTTGTATTTATTGTGTCGGTGTTACTGAGATAGAGTCCTAGCTGAGCTGTAAGATTCTGAGTAAAAAATAATTCTACGTGTAATTGAAAATCATTAAGTTCCTTTCCATACATTTGTATCATTTCACATTTTTCTCAGCACTAAATGAGACTGTCTCTTGGAGAGCCATATTAATAGTGCATTTTTAATTCTGATTAACTATCTGAGTTTTAATTCTTGTCAACATAAAACATAATATTGTTCAATGCTATTATTTTGGGTCTCTGTTACTAAGACTGAAGCTATGTTTAACTTATGTTTTCTAACCTGTTCACCATACATTAATATACTTTTATCCATTCTACAATAGGTGGGCTTTGTTTTTCTTAATTTCTAGATTTTTTAATATATTTGTTACATTGAGCTTTTGTTAGTAATTTACTATGTTTTCTCCAGTTTGACATTTGTCTTTGGAGTTTATTTATAGCATTTTGTGTGTGTGTGTAAAATTTTATTTATTTTTTATTTTTATTTTCTGCTGTAATGGGGATTGAACTCAGGACACTGCACTTGCCAGACAGGTGCTTACTCTACTGAGCTATCTCCCTGGCATAAAATTTTTAGTTTTATTGGCCTTGTATTTCCTATTTTATTCAACCTGGATTTTGAGAAAGTAAAATTTTGTCTTCTTTTAAGTTATAAAGAATTTTTTTTTTCTCAAGTGCTTACTGTGTTTGTGGGACTACACACCATTCCGTCTTTTTCCAAATGATTCTTCAGTTGGTCTAACACCAGTTTAAGTAGGTGTTTTCTCTACTGATTTGACATTCTGTCCTTATTGACTGCTGCATTTTTAACATATTTCAGTTTGTTTCCTGATACTCTGTTCCACTGTGAGTATCTGGTTTTGATATTCCATGCTGTTGGTCTGTCCCTTTGTACTATAATAGCACTATTTTATTTATTTATTTATTTATTTATTTATCTATTTATTGCAGTACTAGGGATTGAACTCAGGACGCTGCACTTGCCAGGAAAGCACTTGTTCTACTGAGCTATCTCCCTGGCCCCACTGTTTTAAATAGAGAGACACACATTGTTTTTTGCTGTCAGCTAGAGGTAACTTTTTATTTCATTGCTTTTTTTTCAGTGCATTCCTGGATATTTGGGCTTATTTTTCATCTGTATGAACTCTATAATTGGCTGATTAAAGCTCCTGAGTAAAGTTCTTTTATCGGCATTCATTATTTTTATAAATAAACTTGGGAAGAATAAAAATCTTTACGAGGTTGAATCCTAGCCAAGAATTTTTATTTAAACAGTGTTTTTGTCTAAGTAGTAAATTTAGTTTTAAGTAGTATTTTCTGTCTTATATGATATTTGCACAGTTTTTGCTAATTTTATGGATTTCTTTTGTAGCTGGCTAGCTAGTACCATTTTCTTATTCATTATATCTTTTAATGGGTCATCTGTAGTGAATGAAAAAGCTATTGATTTATTTTACACTATTTATCTTATGTTTTTAATTTTCTTATACTTTGTAATAGTTTTCCAGTGATTACTGTGGAGCTTTTAAATGTAAAATCCACCAAAAATGTATACATCAGGAAAAATATCTTGTATAAATATTTTAACACTGAATTTATTGACAAATTATGAGATTCATATAGGTGACCTTTGGCCTGTACAATGACAAGATGTGCTCAACGTTTTGGCCATTAGCTTCTAGACATTTAGTAGTACAGTGAACTGCTGGAGTATGTGTACATTTTTTTTTGACAGACCCTGTCTTACCACATCATTTGCAAATCTAGATAAGTCTATGTCTCTGCGTCTAATTTTTGTTCATCCTAGTTGCTTTATCTTATATATGTTGAAATCTCCAGTATGGTATTAAGAATGTTGGAGGAATGTATCACTGTGATGTCATTTTAATGCTTTCTTATATTGGACTTTGGCTAAGGAATATATTTATCATGTTTTTTTTAACATTTTATTTTATTTATCACGTTAAGGAACTTTCACTCATTCTCATTTTATTGAGTGTTCTTAACATGAATGAGCATTTTTCTTTGAAACATCTTCTTGATATCTATGCACAGTTGTTTTTAAACATGGCATTCTATACAGTTGGCCTTCAAATATTGAGCTATGCTTGTATTCTTGAATAAACTCCATTTTAAGCCACAGTGCTAAATTTTCTCTTCCAATGTTTAAGATTTCCACAACAAAATTCATAAGTAATACTAGTCTGTGCTGCCATTTGCATATGTGTGTGATTTCATAAGAAATCATGTTTATCCTAGATTGTTACTGTGTGACAGGATTATGTAAAATAGTATCTTATAATACTTTACAATTCCAGATGTTTTGTCAATGACATGTATTTTTCCTTGGCTGTTTCCACTAGGTGGTGTGCCCTTTCCAGTATTTGCCTTGGTGTCTCTTTGTGATTTAGTGAATGTCCCCTGTTCAGAGGCATATTACGTGACCACCGAAATGTAAAGTAACTCCATCCCATTTTGTCTCTGGTCTGTATTATTTTCTTCCTAGGAATGAGTTCCTTAGACACTAATTCATGCAATTGTTTATTGTTCATCACTGTAATTCCACTGTCTAAATATGGCCTGATTAATAGCTACTTCTGAAATGGATAAATACATATATCTTCTTTTTGTGCAGAGCCAGATGGCAGGCAGCAAGAGCAGGGAAAATTACTGTAATTTAACTTGCATGTGTTGGTCCTTCGGCCCCGGGAGGAGCTGTAAGTTTGCCGTAGCAGTGAGAAGCAAGTCTCTTGCCCAGCTCTGGGTCCACTTTTGGGTGGAAGTTCTGCCACCCAACACAAGGCTGTTCATTCCAAAGTCTGGTCACCTGTGATGGGCTAGCTCGAAGAAAAAGTTAAGTAGCGTGTCTCTGCATGTGAAAAAATGGGAGAAAATAGTCAGGATTCTGGAAAACCTGGGTGCTCAGTCAGCGATCCTGTGTATGTGATAGAGCTAGGCAGAGGCTGAAGGCCGGTCCAGGGAAGACCGGGGCTTAGGGCCCTGACCCCGCTGCTGCAGACGCCGCGGGGGCCCTGACCCGTCCCGTCTGTCCTTAGTCTGCATTAGTGTTTCTCAAATGGGAGTCGTTAATGAGAGAAAAGAAACAAAAAAGGTTTTGATGAATCCCACCTTCATTTATGAGGTCTTATTAAATATTAGTTAAAATTATGGAAACAAACTTAGGCATGTTTGTTTTACTTACCAATTTTCAAGTATAAAAAGTAATAGTGGAAGCCAGAAGGAATCAAATAATAGCCATTATTATGTGGAATGCACGACACTACGCGGCTGAAATTCATTTCCCACTTGCCGTTTGTTTACGGCCCTCATCACTCCCGTATTTTCGAGTTTCGCCACCGATCCTACAGTTAGTTGCTGTAATCCACTGCTAATCGGTGCTCTTCTTTTTTCTATGTCCAAGTTCGTATTTCGAAGGAGCTGGGGCATTAGCTGGTCTTCAGATTAGGCAAAGCTTCGATTACGTGTAAGCTCGCCTCGGTTCGCGTCTCAGTGCTAGCCTTGTATTCTCGTTTAAGCTCCTAAACCTTGCGCTTTCCTTTCCCTTCCTAACATGAGATACTTACTATTTTACACGTGGCTGCTATTCACGAAATGGGCACGTCACAGAGCAAAGTGCTCCGCTCATTATGAATCCAGAGTAGCTCACCGTACACTTACGGCAACATTGAAGGCATCTAAACCATAAAACGCCTTTCTGTTTTCATCGGGACAGCTGCGTCGTGTTCGTGACGCTTGCCACGCCGCCCTCGAACTTACTGCGGCGCTCAGGGTGCCTGGAGCTCTTCGGCGATCCTCCGGCCTCAGCGCCTGGAGGCTGCGATTGCGGGAACGTGCCACCATGCCTTACTTTTCAATACTGTAAAATTCTTAAAGGTAATTATTGAATTCTTAAAAAGACTTCAGTTTGATAATCACTGGCCTCCTCTAAAACTACATGAAATTGCCTCCTGGTCCCCTTTTCTGTCCAAAAATCGATTATGAGCTCTCAGTATTGTGAATTTTAGTCTTTCAAGGTCCATATTATTTATTTATTTATTTATTCATCTATCCATCTATCTATTTTTATTAAAGTACGGACTGCTTCACGCATTTGCGTGCCATTCTTGCGCAGCGGCCGTGCTAATCTCCTCGGTATCGTTCCAATTTGGGTATACGCGCTGCCGAAGGAGCACGCAAGGTCCATGTTTTAAGTTGTAGAGTTTTTGGTGACACTAACGAAGAGGTTGTCTGCACTACTGGCCAAATGATGGTCTGTGTTTGCCCTTCCTGATATGTGGACTCCTACAAATACCCTTTTTCAAGGGGGTGTGATGTCAAGTAAAATTCCCAGGGGTGGGGGACAGGAAGCCATTTCTTACACCGCCGGGCCGCATATTCCACCCTATTAAAATACACAGATTGCCTTGTAGGCGGATAAATAACACTGGACACTAAAGGAGAAAAACAGCAAGATTTTGACCCTAGAGTAAGCCCTGACTCAGTGGAATTTTCCCCACACTAAATCAACAGCGCCATCTACTGGATCAGACAGGAAATAGCACAAAGGCTAAAAATAGGCCTCATCTAACAGGAGGAAATTTTGTGCTTTTTGCTGAGGACAGCATGTTTCACACACATCACATGGCCGCACGGTTAGGGTGACGTGTTGATTAAACCCTCTTGAGACATTCTTACAGATTTTTTTTTTGGGGGGGACGGTGTCAGGAATCAAACTCAGGACCTTGCGCTTGCCAGGCAGGCACTGTGCTGCTGAGCTATCTCCCTGGCTCCTCTTAAAGCTATTTTCAATTCAATATAAAGTACAATCATGCTGTCAATATATTTTGAATCATTTTTTTTTCTCTCTAGAAATGCAAAGCACAGGTAAAGAGCGGAAGTAGGGAGATCGATATCTCTAAAGGCGAAAGAGGTCAAGAGAGAGAGAGAGAGAGAGGGACGGTAAGAGAGAGAGAAAGGAAGAGGTAGGGAATGAAAAGAGGATTAAGACGTATTATGTATATGTACCAAGTCTGCATGAAGAATGTTAACATTATGTACTGCAAACATGTATGAACAAAAATTAGTATTTTAAGTGAAAGACTTGGTTAAAAATACAAAACTCAAAAATATACTTTTGCAGGCATGGTGGTGCCCACTTATGATCCCAACACTCAGGAGGTTGAGGAAGGTGGGTTGCTTCGATTTCGAGGTCAGCCTGGACTACAAAGTGAGTTCAAGGCCAGTCTGAACTGCACAGTGAGCCCTGTCTCAAAAAGAGGCATAAAAATATTTCTGTTGTATTTGGAGTCACAATAACCAGTGTCTTATTTAGTTCTATGACATAAAGAAGTCTAGAAGGGAGAGGAAGGAAGGCAAGCAATATTTCTTGAAGATATATTAGGCTTTGTTTAGAATTGATATTCCAGCATTGTTTGTATTAATTTCATGAAAAAGTGTCATGGTATAATTATTTTGGAAATTACTGTGTGCAAGATCATTTTCATACAGATTCACAGTGTACATTAAGATAAAATGGGTTTTGGGGCCAAATAGCTCAGCAGATTATAGTGCCTGCAAGCAGGTGCAGGGACCTGGGGTTCAATCCCCCAGCCTGCAGTGCTGTCCCTGCCCCAGGGGTGCACTGAGAGGAAAATTGAGACTGGGTGTGGTGGCGTGCGCCTGTAATCCCAGCTCTTGGGAAGCTGCAAACAGGTGGATCACTGTGAGTCTGATCTAGTAGTGAGACCCTGAATACCCTGTAGACCTTCCCTAAAATAAAAAAAAAAAAAAAAAAAAAGATAAAGCAGGTTTTGAGAAACTCAAGGCAAAAAAGCTAGTTAACTTTGTCTAATTCAAGTTTTATTAAGTGTAGTTAGGCATGGCCAATTTATTTGAAAGCATGTCCAGCACTGGTTCCTCCCAGACCACACTCTGTGCTAGGTAGTTACTGTATGCTAGCTAATCTATCATTCTCCCTGACAGCTTTGGGATTTTATCTCCCTTTTATAAGATAGAGAGATGGAGTCGCTAGAGTCAAAACTATTTGTGTGAAGCGTATAGAATATGGAGTTTCTAGTGCTGCAACAGAATAGCTGAGATATCCGTTGAAGGGAGAAGAGGTTTATTTTGGCCCAGGGTCTCAGAAGTTTCTGTCCATGGCAGGTCAACCCTCTTGCTTTAAGTCTGAAAGAAGGCGAAACATAGTGGAGGAAGGGAGTGGAGGGGTAAAGCTGCTCACCTTGTAGCAACCTGGATCAGAGGGACAAAGAGGCAGAGAAGGAAGGACTGGGACGAGAAACCATCTCAAGGACCACGCTGCTATGACTCATTATCTTCAACTACATCCAGGCCTCCTGCCTTTCTTTCTACTGTTTGTTTATTATTTACATTTGTATATGCTTGAACACCTCATGAAGACATTCATCGTGGAAAGTTAGTACATCCCCATATTGCTTCTTGTTACGGCTGTGTCTAGATGTCCTGATGCAGTCAAAGGAGGGACTTTTTCAGAGGCGGCTAATCTACAATGCGCAGTTGCGTCATGGTGCAATGCTAGAATTAAGGATGGGTGATTACTAGACCAGGCCACTGATGGATTTGGCCCCAGTCACCTGCACACCACAGCGGGGACGGGAGGAGGGTTGCCTTGTCACCGCCTTTGTTGCTTGGCTGCCTTCTGCCTGCCCTGGACTGTATTTCCTCCGGAATGCCCCTCTGCCTTAGAGCCAGCCGATTGGGGACCGGAGCCTCTACAAACTGTGACCTGAATGAACCTTCCTCCCTCTAAGTTTGGTTGTTGAGTATTTTGTCTCAGCAATGAGAAAAGTAATTGAGACACATCTTGACCCATTTTACTTCTCCTTCACCCCTTTCTTTGCCATCTTCTCAGTCCCCAGATCACCTCCCACCTCCAAGAGAATGTCTTTTTTCTTTTTTTAAATTAGGTTTTCTTTTTTTTTTTTTTTCCTGCAGGGTCTCACTACACAGCCCAAAGTCCTAGTGATCCTTGATCTTCCTGATTTTTGCCTCCCAAGTGCTGGGATTATAGGTGGGCACCACCAGGCCTGGACTCCATCGCTGGCCCAGCGTGCCCGGGGGCGGGGCCGGCACGGCATGTGAAGCCAGGGATTGAACCCTGGCTCCTGCGCTTACCTAGGCAAGCGCTTAGTCTGCTGAGCTATACCGTCAACTCTTATCTCTGTTTCCTATGGGTATCAACTACCTTTTATTTTGCTCTCTATAGTATTTATAGTTTGGGTTTTTTATATAAGAGAAATCCTGTTTAACCTTCTGTATCTGATCTGTGTTACTTAGTATTAGGATCTCAAGGTGCAGCTGGTTTCCTACACATGACTGAAATTTATCCTTATTTATGGCTGAGGAATTACTCCACTGTATGTACAATGCAACATTTTCACTTTCTGTTCATCTGTTGATGGGTGTAGAGATAGCTTCCAAGGCTTAGCTATTATGGTGTGTGCTGCTATAAACACGAGTATTTGTGTAATATTACAACGCACTATCTTTAACTCTTTCGGGGGGAATTACTGACCCAAATGGAATATCTACTTTTACCTTTCTGAGAAATCACCACACTTATATTTGTAGTGTTAGATGCTAATGTAAATTCCGACCAACAATGAAGTGTTCATGTTCCCCCCAAAACTTCACCAGTATTTGCTGTTTTTGAGTTCTTGATGACAGTCTGTCCACAGTAATATGGAATCTGTGTTTTGATTTACTGATGGCCAAAGATACTGAACATTTTCCTAATAGCCAAAGATGCTGAACGTTTTCCTAATGACCAAAGATGCTGAACATTTTCCCATGTATGTTGGCCATTTGTATTTCTTTAAAAAGCTTTTATTAATTTCAGTTATAAAGTTTAATTGAATCTTTTATGTTTTTAGAAGGGTGAAATCTAATATTTCTAAATTCTTCATGTACTTCAGATATTAATCCTCTGAGGAGGAGCTGGCAAAAAAAAATTTCTATTCTGAAGGTTGTTTACAGATTCTGCTGTTTGTTTTCCTTTTGTGCAGAAGCTTTTTATTTATTTTTTTTTTTTTGTAGCAGGACTTTGTGCTTGCCAGCAGAGCTATCTCCACTGAGATAAGCCACTGAGCTATCCCCTTCACTCTTCAATTTGATATAATCCATTTGGTATTCTTTGTGCTAGTTTTTGTGCAATTATTTTGTGTACTTCTGTGTAAAAACAACATGCTATTTTTAACTCTTTTGGGTAGATACCTAGAAGGGGAGCAACTACCCCAAATGGGATATCTATTTTTAGTTTTGTAAGAAATCTCTATATTCATAGCGTTTGCTACTAATTTAAATTCCTACCAATAATGCAGGGTTCATTCCCCCCCCCCAATCTCACCAGTATTTATTCACAAAGTCCTTGTCTACACACAGTCCTTGTCTATACTTATGTCTCCTTAGTTAGCTTCTGGAGGACTCAGTGCTTCTGTTTTTATATCCAGTTCTTTGATACATTTTGATTTGATTCGATTGCTGGGCAAGAGATAGAGGTCTAGATTCAATCCTATGCATGTATATAATCAGCGTTCCCACTACCATTTGCTAAGGAAACTAGCATTTCTGCAGTATATACTTTTGGTCCATTTGTTGAAGATATGGTGGATGAACATGCCTGGGTATGCATATTTCAATCCATTGATCAACATGTTTCGGTATTATGCTATTTTGATCATTGAACTTTATAATATAACTCGATCACTGGAATTTCTTGTTGCCTCCTGCTTTGTTGCTGTTGCTGAGGATTACTTTTGGTATTCTGAGTCATTTCTTGTTCTACATAGCTGTTAGGATTTGTTGTTGTCATTGTTTAGTTATGAAAAGAAGGCTGTTGGTATTTTGATTACAACTGTATTAAGGCTATAGCTCATTTTTTGATAATATGGTCATTTAGTCAATATTTGTTCCAGAAACAAGATATTTTCTATGTTTTGATATTTTCCTCTCTTTACACAGACCTGTAGTTTTGTTTATAGACTTCTTTCGCTTCCTTGATAGGGTTGGGATAGTGTACAGGAATGATACTGATTTTTGTATACTGATTTTGTATCTTACTATTTTTCATGAATTTTTGATTAGTTCTAGGCATCTTTTAGTGAAAAAAAATTTTTTTTGGTTTTCTGTATGAAATGTCATGTTATCCATATGTAAG